ACAGAGGGATAGAATCAAGATCACATGAAGTGTTAATACCACTTTATAATGCCTTGGTAAGGCCACACTTGGAATACTTCATCCAGTTTTGGTTGCCACGATGTAAAAAGGATGTGGAGACTCTAGAAAGAGTGCAGAGAAGAGCAACAAAGATGATTAGGGGACTAGAGGCTCAACCATATGAAGAATGGTTGCAGGAACTGGGTATGTCTAGTTTAATGAAAAGGAGAACTAGGGGAGACATGATAGCAGTCTTCCAATATCTCAGGGGCTGCCACAAGGGAGAGTCAAGCTATTCTTCAAAGCACCTGAGGGTAGAATAAGAAGCAATGGGTGGAAACTAATCAAGGAGAGAAGCAACTTAGAACTAAGGAGAAATTTCCTGACAGTGAGAACAATTAATCAGTGGAACAACTTGCCTCCAGAAGTTGCGAATGCTCCAACACTGGAAGTTTTTAAGATGTTGAATAACCATTTGTCTGAAGTAGTGTAGGGTTTCCTGCCTAAGCAGGGGGTTGGACTAGAAGACCTCCAAGGTCCTTCCAACTCTGTTATTCTATTCTATTCTATTCTATTCTATTCTATTCTATTCTATTCTATTCTATTCTATTCTATTTATTCTTTCTATTCTATTCTATTTCTAGAGTCTTGTAACTCTTTCTCTGCTGTGCATAGTTATGGCTATAAAACATCCCAATCCCTACATTGATTCAATGGAAAAGACTCAAGCTAAAGCTGGTATGGAACCAAAAAAATGATAGTTAGACTGCAGGTAATGTTGTTTTCTGGTATAGCTGTACCCGGGAAATGTAATATGTTAAATCCAAATGTGCAAACTTTTCCATGCTACCACCACTTATGCCTGGGATGAAAATTGGCTGGATTGTTAGCTGCATTTCCACAACTCAAACCTAGTTTGCTAACAATGACTTTCCAAAGCACCAGAAGGCAAGGCAAGAAACAATGGATGGAAACTAAATAAGGAGAGACGCAACCTGAATTAAGGAGAAATTTCCTAACAATGAGAACAATGAACCGACAGAACGACTTGCCTTCAGAAGTTGTGGATGCTCCATCACTGGAGGCTTTTAAGAAGAGATTGGAGAGCCACTTGTCTGGAATGGTGTAGTTTCTCCTGCTTGAGCAGAGGGTTGAAGACTTCCAAGGCCCCTTCCAGCTCTATACTGATTGATTGATATTGAATGAATTACAGCTGGTTGACGTCTCCCCAAAACACTAACCATGAATCATGGTTTTTGAGTCACCTCCAGTCTGCACAAGACTCTAAGGCCAAAGTAAACAAATGTGCTTCCCATATCAGAGAAACTCAGCCATAAGTGGGAAGGGATACACTGCACATAAGAAGAGCTTGATGGCAACTACAGCATGTTTTAAATATTCCAGCTGGACTTTGACGAATCAGGATTAAAAAAAAAATAAAGGGAAATTTTCAATTAAGAAACACGGTGCACGATCCCCAATCTTGGTTCTGACTCATGGGCATTCACATGGGAAGTGGGGATGACAACACAAGAACCTGTGTTGTCCCTTTGATGTCATCATGGCTGTTCTCATTGGTGCCCTCAAGCATGCTTGGAATCTGCAACCAAATGAAAACACAGGTTCTGCACACCGGTGCAATCAAAAGAAATAAACAATGAATAACCAAGAGGGCAGAAACTGTTTGTCCACCGATTTGAGTTCATTTAGGAACAGCCTTGGAAAATGTATTTGGATACTGTTGAGGTCCATGGAGTATTTGGTTGATTTATTCTTGGTTTATTATACATAGATCTTGAACTAATGTACAGTGGCCTCTGGAATCAGGCTTTCAATATCATGTTTCCCTGAAAATAAGACCCTGTCTTATATTTTTTTTGAACCCTGAAATAAGCGCTTGGCCTTATTTTTGGGGAGGTCTTATTATTTTGGGGTACATGGAGCAAGATGGGGCTCCTCTTGTCGTCTTACCTGATTTCTAGCTCTGTCTCCCTAACCCTAACCAGAGGAAATGGCAGGGACCGGCTGCACATGTGTTTAAATATTTTCAGGGAGGGCTTATTTTAGGGGTGGGGGCTTATTTTAGCGCATGCGTTCAAAAGCCCAATTGGGCTTATTATTCAGAGAGGTCTTATTTTCAGGGAAACAGGGTATTTTGGCAAGGAACCATATGAACAACAACAAATATATATTGCTTGGCAGAAATTGCCTAATATTTCAGACAAAAATTCTCTTTGGAGATCCTGGGGGAAAATGTACCACTGTTTCAAGCCTTTGTCTGCACAACTGCCAAGCCATCCATTACAAATTTCACTGCCAGCTAGCAGAGAACATAGATTCCATCCTAACAGCTATAGACTGAAGTTACCTCTACTGCTTCCACTGAGGGAGGTCATAGTCTTAAGCCTTTCCTAAGTATTAAAAGAACTGGGCACAAGCATCAAGAAAACGTCTAGGCGACAATAGCTATTTCTGTATCTCTCTGCTGTGATTTAGAGTCCATCTGGGTTTTTGCAGCCAGATCTTGGTGGTCTTGGCCTGACCAATAACCAGGGCTAACCAAATACTGGGCAGTTCCTGGAGAAAATTATTGGGGACTCTATTCCCAGATGATGGGTTTGGATCTAGTTACAGTGATTGTTGCAAGAACTATACTATGCACCAAGTGTTTTGACGTGGTCAAATGTATGGTGTGAACACTTCCAGTAAGAAGGACAGTCTTGGAATTTAGTCTGCCCTCACATATGGTACTTTGATCATTAATGGTTCACGTAGGTATAAAAGAACTCAGATGGTGGTTATACTGGAATTAAGGAATGAGACACCTGTTTTTCAATGGTGGTTCCACTGGAATAAATCAATTGGATGTTGACATGCATTCGAATTCACATTATTCCCTTTGTTTACCACTTCCACGGGCATCCCCTAAAAAGAGGTAGTAGATGACACTCTATGTATTATGACATCATGGTGTGGAGTAGGCCTTTTGCATAATGATGTGGCTAACACAAATGACATAATTTGCGTGGTTGGTTGATGACCCCATAATGCACACCATGTCTTTTTTATGGTTTCTATCACACCTCCGTGCAACCGGAACAATTTGCACAACCAAGCAGGCTACAATGGTTTGTGTTGCTCCACTCTGAACCCGGTTCAGGGTTTCAGAGTGAGCTAAAAGCTAGCCTTGCCTCAAATCCTAATTGAAACAATAGAACTTCTCGTTCCTAATTTCGCTGGGGTGCAGCAAAGAAAAGTTGAGAAGTAGGGAGTGTTAACACACTGAAGATAGCAGTTCTATTGGCCAGATTTCCATTGCTCCATAACTAAGCAGGCTGAAATGGCAGTCACTTCACAAATTGTTTGCAATTAATCCTAGTTGGCCATCAAGTTTACAATCAACCAAAAAAAAATTGCAAAGAATCTAACAAGCATCTCTCTGCAGATTCATCTTCTCAAAATAAGTGGTCTACTAAGGTGCATTTTGTTTAAAAAAAAAATCAAATTCATCTAAGAGTATAAAGAATACAAAATATGCTAGTTGGCTCCCAAGGGGGTCGTATTGCTAATCTGATCCTGGCCTGCATTTGCCTGTACATGCTTAACCTGGTGACTGGCTTAACCCATTTTTGGGGACTGACGCAGTTACCTTAGCCATTAAGGTGAACTTGGTTAGCTGTGTTGTGTCAATATCAGTGGTGGGTTGCTACCGGTTCACCCCGCATCGGGTGAAACGGTAGAGGCAGTGGCGGGAGGCTCCGCCCACCTGCCCGGACGTTTCTGCATGCCCACAAGCGAACTGGTAGCAACGGGTTTTGAAACGCAAGTTTTGTTATTTTTGTTTTTTAAAAAATGAAAACTTGGTGGCCAAATGCACGCAGACACCACTACAATCCTATTGGTTCACATTTCAAAAGGCACAAGTTGTTTCTTACAGAAGAGGGATTCAAATGAACATGTTCAAAAAAACGCATTGGAGAAGCACCCCTTTATGCCCAGCTGCAGAATACCTTGCCAACCTACTCATAGCCAGGTGTTATACATATCTGAATCAGGGCTTAATATACATATTTTCAAAAATGGTCCAAAATGAGCTTCGTATAGACTCTTATGACAGATGACCTGCTCCTCTGTACTAAGGTGCGAATTATGACTGTTTGTTTCCATTGTGTACATACACAATGGTGCTACAGGATAAAATCTGGGTCGGTCATCGGGACTAGAGGTTTTGTCTTCCAAACTTTCGGACTCGTGCTGAAGTGCGCTGGCCTCTCTGCTAGAGAGAAGTACCCCAAGGATGGGCTCCAGCACAAGTCCGATTCAGAAGCCGAAACCTCTGGTCCCAGTGACTGACCCAAATTGATCCTGCAACATTATCCCGGGACACGTATATTCGCCTTCACGATGGTGCTACTTTAAACGGCCTCTTTCGACACGTAAAAGGAGCGAGGGTGGATTTTTGTAACTTTGCTGCTTATAGTTCCAAGAATGCATCAAACCCAGTGGTGGGATTCAAATAATTTAAAAACCGGTTCTGTGTCATAATGAACAGCTGGGTAGGCATGGCTTGGTGGTCATGTGACCATGTGGGCGTGGCCAACTCAACATCACTCAGGTCGACTGGTGCTTCGCCTTAGCTGTTACAATGTGATAAGGGTTAACCCAAGAGGCAGTTTCTGTAAGCAGGGCAATAAAGATTAGGCTAGAAACACCACCAGAATGTTTCCTTCCTGCCTTCCTTACAGGATTAGCCCTGCAAAGTGGAAAAAAAACAAAATAAGATTTCTTCCAACAACCGGTTCTCCGAACTGTTTAGAAAGTTAACAACCTGTTCTCCCGAATAGGCGCAAACTGGCTGAATCCCACCACTGATCAAACACCCCCCCCAAAAAGCCACTTCTTGGAAGTCATTCGATTTCGAGATGGCCGAAGCAGGACATTTAGGTACCATTTGTGGAGGTGAAAAAAAAAAGTCAAAGGACTGCGGAGCACATGCCAGGTTCGTTTTGGAAATGTGACATTTATGCAAATGTTCCCTTTCTGAAAGGGCTTGTTCAACACAACCTCTTTTTTTGGTCTACAGCAGATGGCACTTGACCTCCATACCCTGGGATGATCTCAAAGGAACTTTGTAGGGCGAGATCAGATTACAAACAGCCCTTATTAATTCCAAGGGTAGGAACACACAATTTCTCTCCAAGGTCACACAATCTGTTTTCGAAACTTAACCCATAAGGAACGTGTAGCAAAAAATGGGATGCACAATACATTCAGATTGTTTACATTTCGGGGAAACGCTAAGGGTCGCTCTCTGCCTGGTAAATGCATATTGTACAAGAATTAAGAGTCATCTATATATAATTCAATATAAAAGTACAGGAAGGGAAAAAACACACACCACTTTTTGCTCTTCATCCATTTCCAGTTACAGGGAGAGGGGAAAATCCACTTGTAAAAATTTAAACCGAGGCGCCTTTAAGTCTGCTAGGCATGTTGCTGCTTTAAAATGACGTTGTACTTTTTTTTCTCTTTAAAATAAATACATTTTTTTTAAAAAAAAACAACACCTAAAATTCTTTGCATGCTTGCTTGTTGGGATCGTCCGACGTATCCTTCCCAATTAGTGGAACGTTTTTGTTTTTATTTTTATTTTTTTGCCCTACGGTGGTAGGTTAAACATCAGTGGAGTATCCAAAGCAAAAGTTCTGTACAAGGCAAGTGTTGATTCGACCATTATGGGATTCACGATTTCATAGTACATATTGGAACCACGATGACCAAAATAACTGTGCAGGCCGCTGCTGCAATTAGAGCAGATATTTTACACACTTTCGCTCTTCGGAATTCAGCCTCCTTACGCTTTATTAATGAATCGTATCCTGGGGTGTAGATATCCTCCATCCAATATTCTAAATTGTTGGGATTCAAAGATTCTTGAGTCTGAAATTAAAAACCAAAGAAAAAGGGGAGGAGCATTAAAAGACAGTTTCTCCATCTGTTAGATTTCCTCTCTATAAATCATCCACTGCATACCTCATTAGCTGGCTGAGCAAAATATGCTAACTTCACAATCTGGATAGATCTGATCCCAGCATGCTAGGCTGAAATATAGTTTGTGTGGTCCTCGGTGCTCTCTGAGCTTGGTTGTTTCTTGGTTTTTTTCATTACCCAACTAGGTAACATCATCTTTCATGACAGTTAAAACTACTAATCAGTGGAACAACTTGCCTCCGGAAGTCGTGAATGCTCCAACTCTGGAAGTTTTTAAGGACAACCATTTGTCTGAAAGGGTATAGGGTTTCTTGCCTGAGCTAGAATACAAGTATATCGCAGTAAATGCATTGCCAGAACTGAGAATCATGCAGCAAAATCCCTAAATTCTTTTCCCTCCTTTAACTGCCTTCAATCACTGACACCCCCCCCCATGACCAACCAGGTTCAAGCAAGATGTTTTCAGAACGGACATTTCAAACATAATACGTGTGCAGCTGCATTCTTCTTCAGTAGGTTGACCTTGAAGCAGCATCTCAGGGAGATACAGCAGTTACTACTTTCGCTTTCCCCCAAGCATTCTCCCCTCCCTAGAGTTCAGGGCAGTGAAGCACACAAGTAAGTGTAAGGTGGCAGTTGACAGGGATGTTTGCTGATGATGTTATCTAGTTGGATAATGAAACATCTGCAGAAAAGCAACCACACTCAGAGAGCACCAAGGACATCATAGTCCGACCTAAACTACAAATATTCTCTTGAGTTGTTGGTTTTTTTTTACTGGTTTTTGTTGGTTTTCTTTTCTTTTGTTATTAAATGTTATTGTTTTTTTTTCTTTTGTTGTTAATTTATTGTATGTCATCTGAATTGATTGGCAGTTGAGGTGGCTTATACATGAATTAAATAAACAGCTTTTGTAAAAAGCCAGATTTCCCCATTTCTCTTTGGTCTCCTTGCCACTAAATAAGTGGAAAGATATAACAGTCTCCAAAATTCCTCTTTACTGAAAGAAGTATAAAAACATATTCATTTTCACCCAATGCAATGAGATGTGGGGGGGAGGAGGAGAGAATAGGATTATTTATTTATTTATTCGGTTTTTAAAGCCACCCATTTTCCAAGCAATTCTAGCCAACTAGGGTTAAAAGCAGTGGTGGGATTCAGCCAGTTTGCACTTATTCGGGAGAACCGGTTGTTAACTTTCTAAGCAGTTTGGAGAACCGGTTCTTGGAAGAAATCTTATTTTGTTTTTTCCCCACTTTACAGGGCTAATCCTGTAAGGAAGGCAGGGAACATTCTGGTGGTGTTTCTAGCCTAATCTTTATTGTCCTGCTTACAGAAATGGTCTCTCTGGTTAACCCTTATTACATTGTAACAGCTAAGGTGAAGCGCCCATTGATGTGAGTGGTGTTGAGTTGGCCACGCTCACATGGTCACATGACCACCGAGCCACGCCTACCCAGCTGGTCATTAGGGCAGAGAACCAGTTGTTAAATTATCTGAATCCCACCACTGGTTAAAAGTATCAAATTGCAAAATAAGGTATCAATAAAATCACAAAGCACCAGAGACAATTAACTCCGAAAGTGCAGATGTAGTTCACGTAGCATCCTGGCTTAGTGCCTGGGAGAAAAATAGAACTTCAAAGCCCCCCTACAAAAGTGAAAATAATTTATTCTGCACGATGTTGTTGTGTTTTGGTAATCAAAGGACTGTGATTTAAAAACAACAACAACAACAACATCAGAGGGAGTGAAGATCTGTTTATCTTATCGCCCTCTATTTCCAGAGATTCCCAGTATATAATTCCAATAAAATAAAATTCAGTTATAATTAAATCTGATTTACAGTTGTAGGCAGCATGAGCTTATTGCATTTGTTCCCCATTTTAAACATTTGGTGCAATTTTTAACTTTAAATATTAAACGTTGGGTTTGCTTTTCTTTTAAGATACATCCATAAGAGGCATAACGTTTGCCTGAATTGTTTAATTTTCAACCCGAAACGGACAGAACTCTGGGAAAATCTAAAGGAGCGGATGGGTTACCATGGATCTGAAGGCTATTATTATTAAAGTGATCAATTTTTTTACAATAAGAAAGAGGACACAAATAAATTGAAGAAAAAAAAGAAGTGAGTCTAATGCATGCGTGTGTGCCGTGTCGTGTTTCGGTAAGAAGTAAACAAAGCCACTTGCACGCAGCCCACTCTTTCAAAACAATTCTCCTGTGCGGAGCACATGCGTCTCATAATCGCGTCTCACCGCACTGTACCGTGTGATGTGACGTATTTGTATTTGACATGACGAATCGTCATGTCAAATACAAATACGTCAGATCAGTGGTGGGTTTCAAAAATTTTTATTATCGGTTCTGTGGATGTGGCTTGGTAGGCATGGCATGGCTTGGTGGGCGTGGCTTGGTGGGCATGGCAGGAGAAGGATACTGTAAAATCTCCATTCCCATCCCACTCCAGGGGAAGGATACTGTAAAATCTCCATTCCCTCCCCAATCCAGGGGAAGGTTACCACAAAATCCCCATTTCCTCCTGATCAGCTGGGACTTGGGAGGCAGAGACTAGATGTGGGCGGGGCCAGTCAGAATTTTTACTACCGGTTCTCCGAACTACTCAAAATTTCTACTACCGGTTCTCCAGAACTGGTCAGAACCTGCTGAAACCCACCTCCGCGTCACATCACACGCAACGGATCGGATCGGCATCGATCGAATACGGAGATTTACAGATTAGTCTTCAAATATCGAAAAGGAGGACATGTAGGATAGGACACTTTTTGAGAGAGAGACCGAACTTTCAAAAGGAGGACTGTCCTTCCTAAAAGAGGACGATTGGTCACCTTATTATTATACTACTGTGATATTGATAGCAGCACCATGGGCCAGTCCCGAGGGAAGGATGACAGTTAACAGGATGGAAAGGAGAACGATTCTATTTGAAAGCTTTCTGATTTATTCGGAAGAAAAAGAAAAAGAACTCAGGCTGGCTCTGGCAGCACAGAGGTAGGTAGCTCTATCATTGACAGTTCCCTCGACTCTCCTGCCCCCAAATTTTCCAAGGCGGGCAAGATAGGCTCCATTCTGAAGCTGCAATCTCACGCTCCCTTTTGTTGCAAGGTTTCTTTTGCTTTTCATTTGGCAGCGTTGCTAAAAACAGCTGACAAGATGCCCTCGAGTCAAATCAGAGCAACACCTTGTGACTGAACCTTTCCACCACTCAAGTCTGTTGGGGCTCCAAGTGGCTGATTAATTCTGAATCTTGACACCTGAGCAACAGAAGCTGCGGGAAGTAACTTGTCTATAGGGAGATCAAAAAGAAGATAACTGCAGTTTCAACAACCTATATATATATATAAAGAAATATATATATATATATTTCTTTTTCATAGGCTTTTATGTGCATATTCTTTCTAGCCAGGTTTTACCTACGTAAGCTAAGATGTTCTACAGCCCTAGTTCTGTGAAATCTCATTCACAAGTTTCTGGGCTTTTTGTATCTTGCTGACAAACAGCAACTCTGTGCTCCCAAATTGCAGCACAGAGTTGTTGCTTTTCAGCAAGATACAAAAAGCCCAGAAACTTGTGAATGAGATTTCACAGAACTAGGGCTGTAGAACATCTTAGCTTACGTAGGTAAAACCTGGCTAGAAAGAATATGCATATATATATATATATACATATACATATACATATACATATACATATACATATACATATACATATACATACACATACACATACACATACACATACACATACACATACACATACACATACACATACACACACATATATATATATATATATAATATATATATATATATATATATATATATATATATATATATATATATATATCCATCCTCTGGAATTTGGGATGACAGCAAACCGGTACACCTGGCAAGCCACCAAAGCCTTGGTGGCGCAGCAGACTAAAGTGCTGTTAAGTAGCACCAGCTGCCTGCAATTACTGCAAGTTCAAATCTCCCCAGGCTCAAGGTTGACTCAGCCTTCCAACCTTTCGAGGTAGGTAAAATGAGGACCCGGATTGTGGGGGCAATAAACTGACTTTGTATAAAAAAGAACTCCGCTTGGGGGGGGGGCGACAGCCCTACTAAGCAGGAATATACAAAAGTATGAAGGCTATTGCTTAATGCATTGTAAACTGCCCTGAGTCTCCGGAGAAGGGCGGCATATAAACCTGATTCTACCATCACCAGGGCCTATCAAGACTCTGTATCCTGACATCCAAGGGCAGCTCTCAGGGTTATTCATCAAGAGCCCAAATCAAAACATGGGCCAAATTTGGGCTTTAAAAAAAAATGAATAGGGGTGGCACAAATTTATTAAAACAGCAGTAGCTATAGCCCTTAAGACTTATATACTGCTTCATAATGCTCTACAGCCCTCTCTAAATGGTTTACAGAGTCAGCCCATGGCCCCCAAGCAATCTGGGTCCTCATTTTACTGACCTCGGAAGGATGGAAGGCTGAGTCAACCTTGAGCCTGGTGATATTCGAATGGCCAAATTGCAGGCAGCCAGCAGGCAGCAGAAGTAGCCTGCAGTACTGCACTCTAACCACTGGGCCACCACGTCTCCTGAAACCTAAACCTGGATCTCCAATCCCAATGCAACACTTTAACTCTCATGCTACACTGTCTCCCAAACTTCATGACCAACATGCTTCCTAATGATTAAATTAACCCTTCATCCGTTTTGCATGATGCATTAAACCCAATAGACTAGATTCACACAAGATGCAAAACTAGAATAGCAATAGCACTTAGACTTATATACCACTTCATAGTGCTTTACAGCCCTCTCTAAGCAGTTTACAGAGTCAGCCTATGGCCCCCCAAGCAATCTGGGTCCTCATTTTACCGACCTCGGAAGGATGGAAGGCTGAGTCAACGTTGAGCCGGTCAAGATCAAACTTCTGGCAGTGGGCAGAGTTAGCTTGCAATATTGCATTTTAACCACTGCACCACCATGGCTCAAAAAAAAAAAAAAGCCAATAAATAAATAAATATGTGTCCTATTTAATAAGCAAGGTAGAGTTCTTCCATAAGATCAGAGCTGGACGGGGCCATCAAGGCTATGCAGTCAAATTCTGTGCTCAGTGGAGAAGTCCAAATTGAAGTATACATCCCTATCAAAAAAAGAGGCCCTTGCTCTTCTTTTGAATAAGAAAAAGAAGCTGTCACTTCTGTTTAATATTGGCTCTATGGTTTTATCTGCTCTTATTCTTTCTGGTTGGGAATTGCCTTTTCAGAGCAACCATAACAAGACCATTCTTCTCGGATGATAGAAGTGGCTATAGACGTCTTCTGCGTGACCCTCTTTTGATGCTTGAAGAGTCCCACTCAGTGGTGGGTTGCCCCTGGTTCAGACCGGTTCGCAAGAACCGGTAGTAAAACCGGCGGGAGGCTCCGCCCACTGACCCAGATGTCATCATAAGTGATCTGCGGCGGGAGTGATGTGAACCATAGTAAAGGTAAGTAGAACCCACCCCTGGTCCCACTGTATCACCTCTTCTCAGGGCTAAACAGTTTTTGTTCTTTCTGATTCTCTTCCTCAGGCTTAGCTTCCACTCCAGCAATCATCCTATTTGTCCTCCTCTGAACCTGTTTCTGTTTGTTGACTCCTTGTTAAAACAGGGTGAAGCTCTGAAGTGAGTTCTCATCAACGTAGCAGAGAATAGAACTATTGCTGTGATTGGGATTGACACCCCAATCCACAGGCAGCACATGAAATCACGCCCCCTCTGGTCCATGGAAAAACTGTTCTCCATAGAATCTAATGTAAATGAAGTGGGCTCTGATAGATGACCACTGGATAACTTTCTATTCACTCTATTCTAAAAAGCAATGCATCCGGTTGGAAAAAGTACAAACTCAGCCAAAATCTTTTTGGTTCCTCTAGGAGGCCTCTAAGTTGTCAGAAGAAAGGAACATTCTAATGACATACAGCTTAAAGGTTGGTTAGGTCAAGGGGATCCACATGAGTTAAAAGTTGTCTATCGTCAGAAGATGATTTGAGTCTATGCTTCAGTAATCTACAAAAAGAATTATAACTGTTTTGCAAAGAAACTCAGTAATTAGGAAATGTCAATTAAAAATGACAAATGTATATGACCATATGAATTGCTGAGTTAACAGAATCCTTTGTCTAGAAGGGTATAAAACCATTGTACCTAATTTCTGTCTTTGTTCAACGCTTCATGTACAGAGCCTTGAACCTATTGCGCAATATATAAATTGTCTCTGATTAATCCAAAAGTTGTGTTTGTCTTATTTAATCCACAACAAATCAGTCCCTGATGCCCCAAAGTTTGGGGGCTGCCGGCCTGTAGGCAGAAGCGGATCCCCAGGAAGAGGAAAGAAATGTCTCACCTGTAGGTCCAAAGAAGCCAGCTTCCCTTTCTCTCCCGAATTCCTTGTGTACTCCTCAACAGTCCACGAAGGCTGGACTCGTTTCACTTCAGCCAGTTCTGTCAGGCGCATGTCTGTGTAAAGAGGGTTGTTCTTCATATGGGATTTGAGTGATGCCGGATAAGGGTGTGGGCTAAAGACTTGCTCTATCAGGAAACCGTCTTTGGGTGGTTTGGAATGGCGATATGGCTGAGGGATTTCGTACTGCCGATCGGCCTGCAACAAGGTGTGAAAGTTGGGTGGGTATCCTTAGAAGGCCCAAAGCGGATTCGGATCAGACAACAATGGAAAACATGCACGCATGCTGGTTCTGAAGGGGTTTAGCATTAAGGGTTTGCTGTGCAAAGGAGATCTTGCATACACTTTTTCACATTTTACAAACGTGCCCATTTATACCCAAAGAGTTTGGAGTAGAGGTTAAAGCAGCGATGGCTAACCTTTTTGCCATCACATGCCAAAAGTGTGGAGAGCGTGGGGGGGTTGCGTGTGTGTGTGTGCCCACACCTATAATTCAATGACACCCCGCACCCCCGCGCATGCGCACGCGACCCCCTGCACTACCCATGCTTTTGGCACATGATGGCAAAAAGGTTAACGGTGGGTCCAATAGGCCCAGGAGGCCCATTATTTGCCCTCCCCAGACTCCAGAGGCTTTCTTGGAGACTGGGGAGGGTGAAAACAGCCTCCCCCACCCCTGAGGCCCTCCGGAAGCCGGAAACGGCCCATTTCCTGACTGGAAGGCCCAAAAATCAGCTGGCTGGTGCGCATATGTGTGCTGGAGCTGAGCTAGGGAAATGCTCATGTACCCACAGATATGGCTCCCGTGTCATAGCTTTGTCATCATGGGGTTAAGGCATCAGGACAAACAGGAGACTATGAGTTCTAATTCTCCTTTATGCACAAACTCCAGCTGGATGATCTTTGGCCAGTCTTTCTCACCCCTAGGAAGGAGACAATGGCAAATCACTTCCAAAATCTTGCCCAGAAAACTACAGTGTTTAGCTGCCAGGAGTCAAGACTGGCAAACATACATAAAAATTATACCCAACCTTTCATTGTTTTAAATGTTTGCTTCATTAAACAGACATAGAAATAATAATAAAAGGAGTAGTCTCATTATTTAGAAAAGCGTTCGAGACCTGTTGCTAGGTGGAGTGAGCTCCCGTCACACACTCGGGCTCCTACCAAGCCAACAGTTTGAAAGTGGGCAACCCCCAGTAGATAAATGGGTGCCACTTTGATTGGCACCTTCATCGAGATGTGAAAAGAGCCCCCAGTTGGGCATTGGTGATATCAATGACAAATCCTTTTCGGTGCTTCAGACACAGGAGTATTAGTATTAGGACCTTATGAGAACATCTCAACTGTAAGGTAAAGGTAAAGGTTCCCCCGCATATGCATCCTAGTTATTCCCAACTCCAGGGGGCGATGCTCATCTCAGTTTCTAAGCTGAGGAGCCAGCATTGTCCAAACACATCTCCATGGTCATGTGGCTGGCATGACTAAATGCCAAAGATGCATGGAGAGCTGTTACCTTCCCACCAAAGTGGTCCCTATTTTTCTACTTGCATTTTTTACATGCTTTCGAACTGCTAGGTTGGCAGAAGCTGGGACAAGTAATGGGAGCTCACTCTGTTATGCGGCACTAGGGATTCGAACTGCTGAACTGCCGACCTTCTGATCGACAAGCTCAGCATCTTAGCCACTGCGTCCCTTATCTCAACTGTACCTCTATGCAAAAACATGAATATATTACTGATTGAAACTGGGGGGGGGGGAGAAAAAAGGAATTACCTCTTTGGATTTCCGGTGCCAGTCTTTGTTTTCATTCCCACTTCGGTCTTTCATCTCTTCCTCTGTGATGCCAGCTTGGTTGGTATAGGTGATTGCACGCCAGTCTCTAGGGGAGTTGGAAATGCTTGCAATCTTAGATTCGGTGGCACTATTTTCCTCGGTTAAAGATCGCGAGGATCTCCTGGTGAATAAGCTTTTTTTCAAGGCTTTGACACGAAGGCTTTCGCTGTTACTGCCACTGGCGTCAGAGCAGCACCAGTCTGGGTTATTCTCCAGTTTGCCCCCGTGCGACGAATTGTGACATGAGAAAATCCTGGGGGAAGTGCTGTCTTCCGATGGGATCTCACTGGTCAAGGAATTAAGATCAAGCTGGACACTCACATTCTCTGGCTGCTGGATCTTTTGGTCCAATTTGTTTAGCTTCCCCAGGACCTGAGAAATTTCATCCCTGACACCGGAGAGGGATTCCAGTTTCTTTTCAATTTCCCCAATCCTTAGGACTAGTTTGCAGACGCTGGTTTTCAGCTCGTCGTCTGTGCTGCTGATCTCCAACCGAGACATTTTGTCTAGGTTGCTGCCAGCGTTTCCGTTGGAAATTTTAGCTAAATGGTGTTCGGGGGAGCTATCACAGTCAGATTTGTGGATCTGAGAAAGTGAGCCAGTGCTGTTATAACAAGAAGATTGGATCACTCCTGTAGACCCAGAGACGCTCAAGTCATCCAGAAATCTGAAAATATCGCTAATGTCATCGCTGACGATTTCAGAGTCATCATCTGATTGCTTCAAGGAGTGCCTCTCGCCATACTTACTTTGGTTCGGGTGGGCCATCTCCTTGAACTTTTTGTGTTCCAGTCCTTGCCGATCTGTCTGTGTCCCAACGCTACTGGTTTTATCAATGCTTTGAAGCTGAACAGCAGTGCAATTAATACTTTTGTCTTTAAATTTTTTGATGGGCTCGTGCTTGTCGACTTCTAAGATGGAGGGGATGTCTTTGGATTTATGCCCATTTGATTTGACCCCATAATTGGGCTGCATCATGGATTGTTGTTCTTTAGAGCTGAGATATTGTTGATGCCTCTCAGAAGCCGAAAAATTGGCTGGCTGGCTCTGGGAACTTTGATATTGCATCTTCTCTTCTGGCTGTTTCCTGTTAAAAAAGGATCTTTCAAAATCGGGGACTTCCTCTGTGTTCAAACTCCAACTCTTGACTGGCCAGGGAGTTGATTTGCTTGGCTTTCCCAACCATCGTTTTGTCTCTTGAGGCCCAAGAATAGTCGTTGGGCCAAAATACGTAGAAGCTTGGAGATCATCTAAGCTTTCATGCTTGGCTCGCTTCTTCTCCGGAACAGGAGAATAAATCGGGTTCAAATACTGGTTACTGTAAGGTATTTCAAAGCTGTGGTTGAAGAATGTCTGTTTGGAGGTTTCTTTTTGGCTTGGGGGTTCCCCAAGCTCATCATCCACTTTGCCTGGTGGCGACATCAAGCTGGGCGAAATGGTGATGAGGTTATGGAAGTCTTCCTTGAAGATGTTGCGTTTCTGCATGCAGGACTGCATCAAAAAGGGCTCGTCGCTTGGAATGAATGATTCCTTCATGCTCGAGCTGGGAGGCAGAGATTCCTGGTCTGAGATGGAGTCAGTTTCAATGTTCATGGGGAAGTAGGTGCTCTGCATTTCACAGGGGGGAGAACTGGCAATGGTGTAGGTGGCCAAAGCTTGCAACCGATCAAGAGAAGCTGTTCGTCCTTTGACATCTTTATCCATCCCCAGCAAAATGTTCATCTCCGAAGTGGGTACGAATGGAGGACAGTCTTTGCAATCCCCTTTTCTGCATTTGGAAGCCCTCTTGCTGGAATAGCCCCTGCTGAATTCTCCGTCTTGCAATTCGCAGTTCACCACGCAGTCCACCATATTACACACTTCGTTGTCTGATCGGCAGGAGTCCAGCGACTCTTTTTTTCTTACTTTCTCCCGGGTGGTGGGCAGCTTCTCCTTCGCCAGGCCCCCATTCATCTGTATGAGGTTGAAGATGGTCACAATATCAGCTGCGACCATGATCTTCTTTGACTGCTGGTTGTTGACGTTACATCTCATTTTGTCCTTGAACAAAGTGGCTGGGAAATTGGGATCCAGACAGGCCGTATAGAAAAGCACACTCCTTAGCTTGGCCAGCTGGGACAAGTCAAATCGAGCACATAATGATTTGCAAAGGTCCTGATAGGAAACGGAGTTCTGCTTAGTATCCAGTTCCTCCAAGATGTTCATCAGGAACACGGAAGACTCCTGATGGGCCTCCATGGTCGGTAGGAAGTGCTGTGGTTCGCTTGGAATGTTTTGCTCCGGTTCTACACCGATTTATAAAACAAAACAAAACAAAACACAAAAATGTAGTTATCACAAGCCATTGCATCTCAACAATCTACTAGTGGCAGACAAAGAGAGGGTGTTGCAGGTAGAAAAACCACCTCTTCCAAACTATTCAAAGTTTCTCTTTTAGCACAAAGGGGCTCTGAAGGATGATTAGGCAAACAAATCAGAATAGAATTTAACATGTTCTATGTCTCTTCTGAAGAGTTTAGAGCAGGGGTCAGCAACCTTAACCACCCAAAGAGCCACAAAGGTCCTAACCGGAAGCCCCTGTTCAATTCTGGAGCTGACCGGAAGTCCAATTCTCCCACCATAGAGTCTCCTCCTAGCATGGCGTCCTTTTTCATCTGCTGACTGGAAGTCGATTCCCCCACTATAGAGTCTTCTCTTAGCATGGTGTCCTTTTTCTTCTACCTGTCCTAACTGAAAGCCCTATTAATTGTGGAGCCGACCAGCAACAGGGAGCCACAGCAGAGGGATGAAAGAGCCACATGCAGCTCCAGAGCCATGGGTTGCTGACCCCTGGTTTAGAGCAATATCTATAGCTCCCTCCCTCTCTCTTTCTCCCTCCCTCCCTCCTTCCCTCCATCTCTATCTGTCTATCTCTCCATCATCCATCCATCCATCCATTCACCCACCCATCCACCCATCTATCCTTCTATCCTCTCCCAGAATGTATCCTTGTACACACAGATCACAAGGATAGCTTTTCACAAGGCTACTACATCATTAAAAAAAAATATTAAACAATTCTTTGAGCATGGCTGCTAGCAAAGCCAGAGCTAGGTGTCTTCTTCACTTAAGCTCATCTTAATGGCAACCCTTTTCAAGGGGTAGAGCTCAACTTAAGGATCTGCCTTCTGACAAATCGGTCTTATGTTAATAGACACGATCTATTATGGTAGCCATTTTGTGAGAGTGTTTTCCCCCCCTCTCAAATGACTCCTAATCTCTTATTGGGCCAGGCTACAAATTTATGTAAATTCATCATTTCAACCCTCTGAATATGTCCTGTTGATTATGTCCCAGATTCCCCACCAGGAAATAATAAATAAAACAACTTCGCTATCATGAGAGGGCTACAAAAATCCAGACCACTAGATGGTAGACAAGAGACATAGAAAGCCAGCTCTTTGCTACCACCTAGGAGCCATCTCAATTTAGGCAGCCCGGATATGGTAACCCTACTTTAGCATTAATCCCATTTTACTTTGCAAGATTATATTCACAATTTATTTGCTTGCAGTTACCCTTTGAAAGAGAAAAGAAACAAAAACAAATCTCTAAAACCCCACCCCCACCCCCTTCCAAAACAGACCAAGCAATATTTGGTCAACCTGCGTAATGTGTTCCAATTACAGAATAAAAGATTAATTGAAACGATTGCAGAATTGCAAAGTATAAAATAAGGACACAGAACGGAGAAGCAGCTCCTATAAGCATTTGTTATTAATTTGATCCAAACTTGTTGGGAGAGTCATGTTTCAAACCTGTTCTCATAAGCCTACCCATTCCCCAATCTCTAAGCCTTGGATTTAGCGAGCCTTCCTTTTTCTATAAAATTGTCTGCTGACATACCGTATATGTGAAAAAGTAACTTTACCATATGTAAACAAAACCACCAGGTTTTTTGCTACTGAATTCGTCAAAGGAGAAGTCCCGGTTTTCCTAGATTCGTAATTTACGTACTTTACTATCAGTATTACTGCTACAATTTCAGCACCTTCTGCTTTCAAACACTTTATCTCCATGCTCTGTGATTCAATGTTATCAATTCAATTCTCTATTTTGGACTAAGGTTTTTTTCCCCCCCCCCCTGCAGATAGGGGTGCAAGGGAGGGAAGAAGGATAGCTTGCTATCCGTCCTTATTTGACATGATTGAAACTGTATTTGTTGCCATGGCTGGGGTTACAACAGGGCAAAGATTAGTGGTGCAGTTTTCCACACGTTTGCGAAGAAGCCATGCTCATAGCACACACAGACACAAACACACCCCAAAGGTACACAGAATTCAACTGAGCAAGCTAAATGTGAATCCTTTTGTAGGCCATCCCATGCTATGCCCAATCCGTACGTGATCTCCTGCTAGAAACACAGATATACAGGTACACAGGGGAAGAAGAAAAAAACAACCCAATATAAGCAGTGAGGAAGATTCTGCCATTCTAACTCTACCACCCTGCCTCACTGTTTACATACCCCCTCCTTACCACTGCATCCGATGTAGATCTTTTCGCTAACTGTACTGAATGCACCGTGGCTGTCACCACACATGTACAGGAGTCATATTAGCCTTTTAAGTACTGTAATAACAAGAAACACCCCCTCTGTCTTTCCGCCATCCTTCCGAAGGCAATGATAACGGCTCATACCTCCTGGCTCAAAACCGTTCCATGAAAACTGATATGGACACTCGAGCAAGCTCATTCCTAGAATCAAGCTGAAAGCCTGTTCTCAGATAAACATGCTTGGCTTTGCTTGTCTGGAGATGGTGGAAGGAGAAAGAGTGTATACACACACATGTACACACATATGTGTGTGTATAATTCAGATTAAAATGTAGATCATACAGAAAACAGATATTTTCTTAGGAGGGGGAGGGGAGTGTTGTACGGTACCCAAACTGGTTTTTCTAAGGACTCCTCCTCTTCTTCCTCCTCTGATCTTACAGGATAAGAGTGGAGAGAAACTGGAGTTTTGGTTCCTACCGGTGTGTTTCACAAAGACACAAATACTTGATTGTTGGGGGGGGGGGGGGGGTTTCTTGAATCTCTGCATTTCTGTAAATCCCAGGGCAGGTAGAAGATAGTAAGATAAGTAAGATAAGAGCCTTGATAGTACAGTGGTTTAGTGCACCCTGTTATTAACACAGCTGCCTGCAATTTCTGCTGGTTCGAATCTCTCCAAGGCTCAAGGTTGACTCAGCCTTCCATCCTTTCTAAGGTAGGTGAAATGAGGACCCAGTTTGTGGGGGCAATAAGCTGACTTTGTATAAAACATACAAAAGAATGAAGGCTATTGCTTAACGCATTGTAAGCCGCCCTGAATCTCCGGAGAAGGGCGGCATATAAATCAAATTAAAAAAAAAATTGTTTGTTTGTTATTATTTCTTTATAAATCAAATTAAAAAAAAAAAAAAAAGATCTTCTGCTGGCAGCCATCCTAATGTGATTTTTATTCACTCTTCTCAAGCCATTGGGGAAACAGAAGGGAGGAGGGACCCAACATAATTTCCTAGGGGCTTACTCATCAGCTCAAGTCCAGCATTTACTGCAAGCCTGCAATTCTCTGCATTTGGGGGCGGGGGGGGGCAGGAAGAATCCTTAGGAAGCGATCTTGGCACAGGCATCATGTCTACTCCAAGCAACAGCACAAATCCAAAGGTTGATTCATGGGGTGTGGGGAAGGAATGGTGGCAGAAGTTGCTTCTTTAGTTTAGAATGTGTGGCTAATAAACTTAATGTAGACCTAACTTTCCAGAAGGAGAAGATTAGGCCAGGTTGACAGGCCTGGCCACACACCAGCTTGCACACACCTAGGGTATCCAACTTTCAAGGAGAACGGACTGCTTTCCACCATCCTAGACCATATTGGCTCACTGTTGAGTTTCAGCCAAGTTTGAAAGACATCCATGGCTGACCATCATAACGCTTCCCCTTGCAAATTACCACTTTCATGAAACACCTTGGGTCATCATTATCATGCAGTCAGAGCATCAGGTAAGTAGGGGTGAAGAAGGGAAAAATATCGGGTGGGAAGAAGGAACCCAAAATTATAAGGGCCAACAAAAAGAGACAAGAAGGGAGAGAAGCATCCAGATTTATGACTGCAGCACACATGCTTGCAACTATCCATCCAAGATCACTGGCAGAGAGGGGGGGGAACCCCCCCAAACACAGCTTCACAACAGAACGGTTTGTAGGTCCAGATATTTTTTTTTAAAAAAAAAACATGCTCACCTTGTGGTTAATAAAAATGGAGGACCTTTAGCAGGGAACCAATGCAAAAGAACTCAAGAGCCCTTTGGACTAAGGATGCCCAAGATTGCTTCTCCCTCTGAGGTGCCTGCTGCTATGGGTCTGCTTCAAGAGAGGGGTGGGGGCAAAACAAAACTGAGGACTTTGTCCTGAGGAATTGCGAATTTTATTCCGCACAAGTTTTTTTTTTTTTTTAAAAGAAATTCTGAACAGGTCTGTGAGATTGTCTCTCCGCTTCTGCCTTTTCCAAATTCTGAGGAGCTACATACACACCACACAAACACACAAACACACACACACACACACCTCTATCTATTGTCCTAAAAACAAACAAAAAACCCCCACAAAGAAACAGCAGGCTATATAAGCAGTCCCCCCTCCCCCCCTGTGCCATCCATTTATCACTCGTCCCCATGGGGGCTTAGAGAGTACAAGCAGACCCAAACCTCTCTTCATTGCAATCAATTTGTTCTATCCAGTCAATCTCTCTCTCTCTCTCTCTCTCTCTCTCTCTCTCTCTCTCTCTCTCTCTCTCTCTCTCTATCTATCTCTCTCTCTCTCTCTCTCTCTCTCCTCTCCCTGCCCCCCTCTCTCTCTCCTCAAGGAAACAAGGGAAAAAAGGTGGAAGCCAAATTCAGTGCTATTGGGTGGTAAGAAATCCAGGGGAGGGGGCTAAAGGCAAGATAGGACTGATTCCCTCTCCTTCTCCCTCTCTCCCTCCCTCCCCCCCATCTCTCTCAAACACACACCCCATGATTTACAGCTATGCCTTATGGTCCTCCACTTCCCCTTTTCATTCATATAAAACCAGGCTGATTCCTCCAGCAACTGTCCTGCACCATGCTGTTGCCCAGAGATCTGACTACGCTTTGGAAATCCAAAGAGTGGCTAGGCTGGAGAATAAAATCACAACCATCACCACCATCAGAATCCACCAGGACAAACCTGGGCTGCTTCCTTCCCACACAGCATCATCTCCCACCAAACCTGGCCAAATTCTCCCAACTACTTAACTTGGGTTTTCCTAGAAGGGAGAGATGATGACTGACTTTTTTTCCCCCTGGCTGGCTTTCTTTTCTCTTTCTTGGCCAAGATTTTCCGGGAGAGGAACATTAGAGGGGCAGTCAGTCCCAACAAGACGGCCTTTGATGGAAAAACCAACGCGGATCCCCCCACCCCGATCCTAAGCCCATCCCCGCCCAGTCCCTCTTACCTCCAACTTTCCTTTGAAAGGGCAGGGAGGAGAAACGAGGAGCGGCTGCAGATCTGGGGGTTGATGGATTGTTGTTGTTGGGGCTTTTGATTTGTTTTTGTTTTTTCCCGTTTGGGGGGGGGTCTTCTTTCGCCTTCCTCTTGCCCCTCACGTCAGGCTCTTCTCCCGCCACTGCTTATCCTGCAGCCGGGACTTTTCCAGCAGGAAGGAAAGAAAGCAGGAGAAAAAGGTCTCCCAGTACCATTTTCCCATGGCGCCAAGATTTGATTTGCAAGAAAAAGAGAGGAGGAAGAAGAAGAGGAAGAAAAAGAAGAAGAAGAAGAAAAAGGAAGGAAGAAGCCACCGGGAAGAAGAAGAAAAAAAAAAACCCGATGCAAACGCGATGCCCAAATCCGCCAACCCAACACACTGCGGAGGTCGCTGGGGATGCTTTGCGCCGATCCAACCGCTCAGCCCTTCGCCTTCCTTCGGGAGCATCCCTGGAAGGCTACGAAGATGTCAGCGGCTCAGCTCCGGACCCTCCTCCAGGCGAGGCGATGGGTGAGCCGGGGACGCTCCTCTGCCCAGGCTCGGAAAGCAAACATTAGCCAAGCTCACCGGGAGCGCGCACACGGCGGCGGCGCGCGTTCTCGCTTCCGAAGCCCCGGCCCCTTCCCCTCTCGCTCTCCCCTCCGAAGCGCCTGCTGGTCCATCATTGGCCCAGCTTGGCTTCGGGGAGGAGAGAGAGAGAGAGAGAGAGAGAGGACCAAAACCCACCTCGAGCCCCGAGGATGGAGAGCCTGGTTTTATAATAGGTATTTTTGCGATCCTAAAACCCGGCAAAGTGGAGGGACTGCAGAATGGCCGATTCTCCCCTTCTTAAGGATTCTCCCCTTTCTTGGCGCCTCCTTTCTCCAGTTTGCAAGGACGGATTAAAAACAGCCTCGGCTGGTGGTGGTAGGGGATGCGATCCTAAAGCCGCGCAAGTGGCAAGCGCTGGCGGATGAATTTGAAGAACGGATTGAAGTCCAAGCCTTTCGTTGCCTCTTTTTCTCCTCCCCTCCCCTAAGAGTGGGGAGAGTGGGGTTCTTGTTCAATCCTAAACCAGCTGCAGATAGGAAGAATTGGTTTTGACTTGATTTCATGCCTTTCCTTTAATCTTGCCCCCCTCTCCCTCCCTCCCTCCCTCCCTCCCTCTCTCTCTCTCTCTCTCTCCCCCTCCCTCCCCCCTCTCTCTCACACACAGACCTCCCTCTTCCCAATCTCCAAGGTGGGAGAATTTGCATTTAACAGCAGCTTCTCTTGTAGACTTTTGGTAAGGATTGAACTGAGCATATTCTGAAGCTGGAAAAAAAATTGCTCCAAATATATGCTTTTAAGGTAAAGATAAAGGTTCCCCTCGCACATATGTGCTAGTCGTTCCCGACCTTTGGTGCTCCGTTTCAAAGCCGAAGAGCCAGCGCTGTCCGAAGACGTCTCCATGGTCATGTGGCCATCATGACTCAACGCCAAAGGCGCATGGAACACTGTTCCCTTCCCACCAAAGGTGGTCCCTATTTTTCTACTTGCATTTTTTTTACGTGCTTTCGAACTGCTAGGTTGGCAGAAGCTGGGACAAGTAACAGGAGCTCACCCCGTTACATGACACTAGGGACTCGAACCACTGAACTGCTGATCGACAAGCTCAGCACCTTAGCCACTGAGCCACAGTGTATATGCTTCTAGCTCTCTCTAGAAGTGGGGAGAGGGTGGGAGGCAGGAAGATTAAAAAGTGGTGCTCCACCAGCATGAAAACCATAATCCATATGGGAAGATGGGAAGGGACAGAAGATGAAGGGTCTATACTTGAGCTTGAGCAGAAGGTTGGACTAGAAGACCTCTAGCCTAAATGGTTTTTAATTGGGATTTTAAATTTTATGGATTTGGGGTTTTAAATTTGGGTAGCCAATGATTTAATTCTTTTAATTATCTTAACTTTTGCATTTGTATGTTTTTTAATTTTGGCTGTTCACCGCCCTGAGTCCCTTCTGGGAGAAGGGCGGTATACAAATTAAATAAATAAATAAATAAAGTCCCTTCCAGCTCTAGTCTGATTCAACGATTCTGATTCAAAGATGAGGAAGAAAAGCCAGCAGAAAGAACAGACCATGTTTGGTTTTTTTAAAAAAAAATACTGTACAGGTAGTCCCTAAATTTCAACCATTCATTTAGTGACCGTTCAAAGTTACAAGCAGCACTGAAAAAAAGTGACTTACGACTGATCCTTGCGCTAATGACCACCGCTGTAGGCCCCCATGGTCATGTGATCAAATCTTGGCAACTGGTACGTATTCACAATGGTTGCAGTGGGATCTGGGATCACATGATCCCCATTTGCTTAACAACCGCATGATGCCACGAATGGGTGCAGTGATTTGTTTAACAGCCATGGCATAAAAGATTGTAAAATTGGGCTGCCTTGCTTAGCAATAGAAATTCTGGTTCCAATTGTGACTGTAACTTGAGGACAGCTTATAAATTCATGGATAGCAATAGCACTTAGACTTATATGCCGCTTCACAATGCTTTCCAGCTCTCTCTAAGCAGTTTACAGAGTCAGCCTATTGGCCCCCAACAATCTGGATCTTCATTTACTGACCTCGGAAGGATGGAAGGATGAGTCAACCTTGAACCAGTGAGAACTGAACTGCTGGCAGTAGGCAGAGTTAGCTTGCAATAGCAATAGGACTTAGATTTATATGCCGCATCACAATGCTTTCCAGCCTTCTTTAAGCAGTTTACAGAGTCAGCCTCTTGCCCCCAACAATCTGGATCCTCATTTTACCCCCCTCAGAAGGATGGAAGGCTGAGCCAACCTTGAGCTGACGAGAATCGAACTGCTGGCAGTAGGCAGAGTTAGCCTGCAATAGCAATAGGACTGAGACTTATTTACCACTTCATAGTGCTTTACAGCCCTCTCTTAAGCAATTTACAGAGTCAGCCTATTGCCCCCAACAATCTCATTTTACCAACCTCGAAAGGATGGAAGGCTGAGTCAACCCTGAGCCTGTCGGAATCACACTCCAGACTGTGGGCAGAATTAGCTTGCAATATCGCATTCTAACCACTGCACCACCAGGGCTCTGGGTTCACAGACTAATTCATACACCTTGCCAAGCCACACTTCCTTGATGAAGCCACAATTGTGTGGGCTCATATAACATGCTTATGATTTGCAATTCAGTGTCTGGGTTCAGGCATCATGTTTAGTCAAAGTCAAACAAAGCACATGCTCAGTTAGCACACACATGAACCCAAGCAGTTCAGCTTGTAAAAGATCTCCCAGGTCATCCTTAGCGTACTATTCCAGCGTTGATTGCAAAACTAGATAATTCATATTCAGGAAATTGTTGGGAATTCAATAATCAGGTTGGATTATCCACACTGGATGGCAGTCTTATAAAGCTCAACAATTCTGGAAGATTATTCATCACAAAATAAAATAAAATGTAAATGAGTAGGGTGGTGGCCTAGAGGTAGAGCTCTCATCTCACAATCAGGAGGCTGTGAGTTCGATCCTAGGTAGAGGCAGATATTTCTCTCTCTCTGGGCACCCTGAGAATATATCTGCTGAAAAAAACTCCACATTGGCAACAGGAAGGTTATCCGGCCAGTAAGCTCCATTCAGTTGCCCAGACTCCACCCCGCAAGGGATTATGTGGTCGTTAAAAGAGGATGAATAAAATAAAAAGTAAAGATATGCTTTCCTTTCTTGCCAGTTCTTTTGGCTTGTTTATGAAACCTTAACTAAGCCTTATATTCCTACAGAAATATGCCGAATCAAACCTGTATATGATAACAGCTGCTAGAACATGTTAAGCTTACTGAAATTACGCATAATTCTTTCTTGAGAAGAATGAAAGACTGCTCTATGAGAGTTTGGATACATATCAGCAATAAGCTCGCATCAGTCTGATACCACAATATAACTGTCAGGTTTCGATGTCATCTCAAATGAATTGCACTCCAAAACAATTCATCTTTGCTGAAATATTCCATTTATTGAGTACGACAGATCTGGCCCCGACTTCGTCGTAGCTGATACTAACCCTCTGACCCCCAAACCCTTCCCTTTCCGTTCCCCAATTCTCATCTTCTCATTGGCCATCTTCCAAGTCAGTCTCCCCAGCTTCTGACCTCAGCCCACAGGAATGTCTCCCTCCCATCCCATCTCCTAGGGGATATTATCTACAGAGAAAATAAGTAGGTGAAAAGTCAAGCCTCGTCTCCTCCTTTTTATGGCAGCATCAGAATGCTGACAATAACCTGGAAACAAGTTTTGTAGATTATAACCCCGTGCATCGATTGGAACTACATCTAAACTCAGGTTCCCTTTGACACAGACTTTAAATATTAACGTTCTGACAAATGTTTGATTTGTTATCATCAGGATAGACTTTCTCAGATCACACAGAAACTTAATT